ACTCTTAGTCGCTGGTCAGAAGCTGTAATGTTATTGCACAAATCAGTCATGAGCAGGAAAGCAGCCCACACTAAAACAGGCACTTTTGTCCTTATGCAGACAGAGCCATGTTTTAAATAAGAAATGGGACTTTGTCACATGGTCCTTCATCATCTAGATAAGAACAAGCTGCTCGATAAATACTAGGTACTTGATAAATACTACCTGCTCTAACCAGAACCTGTTCGTTCCTTATCTAACAAATGATAAAGGGACAGTTAAATGACCACTGGCATTTCAACAATATACCGTATTTTTCGCTCTATAGGACGCACTTTTTCCCCTTCAAAAATGAAGGGGGAATGTGTGTGCGTCCTATGGAGCGAAGAAGCCATAGCCCCGCGATCCTCTCCTGGCTGGAGAGGTGACGCGCAGCTATGGCAGGAGCCTCTTTAGCCGCGCACCACTTCTCCAGCCGGGAGAACACGCATGGGGCTAAAGAAGCCCCGCTTACCCTCTCCCAGCTGGAGAGGTGACACGCGGCTATGGCAGGAGCCTCTTTAGCCACACACCACCTCTCCAGCCGGGAGAGCGCGCGCGGGGCTAAAGAAGCCCCCCGCGACCCACTCCCGGCTGGAGAGGTGACGCGTGGCTATGGCAGCAGCCTCTCCGCTGCGCGCCTTTTCGCTACTCCCTGACCTGCTCTTTGGGGCTGGTGGTGGGCTTCCCCCCGCCAGCCCCAAAGAGCAGGTCGAAAGGAACCTGAAGCCTGGAGAGCGAGAGGGGTCAGTGCACACCGACCCCTCTCGCTCTCCAGGCTTCCAAGGTAGCCGCCAGAAGGCGACGGAACGCACCTTTAACGGCACCTTGTTTTAGAGGGGAAATTCTCCCCCTCTCTGCCCAGCGCCTCCTGCCGCTTCGCTGAAGGGGCGCTGGGCAGAGAGGGGGATAATTTTTTTTCTTGTTCTCCCCCCTCTAAAACAAGGTGTGTCCTATTGTCCGGTGCGTCCTATGGAACGAAAAATACGGTAATTGCCAGGTGGTGTATTAATAAAGTAGGGGGGAATGACCATCTAAAAATGCAATGCCAAAACAGTACGTGGTAACATTAAGTTTTCCTCCCATCATTATTTTAATTTTCATCTGTCTAGGGTTGTCATGAAGGTAGGTAATGAACATTGGGAAGCAGGGAATGTTTGGTTTTGGAAGATTCGGAACAGACACTCAAAAACCGAAGAGAAAGAGAAGCAGGTCCCTCTGCCAAATTTGAAGACCCTGTACCCTTTCACAAGAAGCATGGCCATACGCACGCATGCACGTGCACACACACACTACCCTTTAATTAAACTTTTTTACTGTTTCACTCAAATAATTGTAAAAAAAATAAAAAATAAAATTCAGGTCAACAGAAGTAGAGCCCAGTCTTTCAGTGGCCACTGAGGTCTAAAATACGATGCCAGTGAAAGGCTTGTACTGCTCTTAAAAACCTTTAAAAAAAAGAAGAAGTCTGGCAATTTAGGAGTATTTAAAATGAATACAATCTCTGTGGCCCAATATGCTAAAAGTCACATTTTACCTTCTTTTTTATTACAAGACAATGCACAAAACTCCAATTTAAATCCCAGAACACATTAGTCTGAAGTACTATCATTATTCTAACAGCCAAAGAAAAAAGTGGCCTCTGGGTTAAAAACCGAAAAGGGAATTTTTCAACTTATTACCAGCTACAATGATTTCTCCAATCAAAATTCCACCTCCAGCAACACCTCTCTGAACATCCCTCATGATTCAAATGTAGACTTACAAAGTTATAAATCTTTCGAATCGGATGTAGAAAACAATTATGAGGGTGAACAAGTTGAACATAACCTTTCACATTGTGTTATAGCTGTGATGCCTTGATAAGCTTCCCAACCAATACTGTTTTCCAGCCCTAACACAAACCAGTGACATCCTGAACAGCAGAGGTAGCCATTTCAACAACAGAGATCTGGGGGATTTATGCAACCACTTCTGAAAGAGAAACATATTTTAATTTTCCCAGACAAAAGCTTGGAGAAAAGCAAGGCAGACATTGTCTATCCCCTAATATTAAGCTCTAACAGAAGGCAGCTTGTGCAGTGATACACAAGGCTATTTCTCAATGTGCTTAACTCCGCCACACATTTTATTTATAGGCCCTGAGACTTTCTGGCGTCTACCTTGTTTGCCTGGGCCAAAGTTCAACACACTTGTTTAAAACATGCTTTATTGAGGCCATGCACTGGAATAAGTGGAAGCTGAGCAACAACCTGCCAGCTACATGTTTCCTAGAGTATGTGACATTAAATCTGTATTTATGCTTATCGTCCTGAGCACTAACAGTACAATAGTGTATATAGATAAGTTTTTATCCTGAGGGTGTACAATAATGCAAACACACACACCAGGTTCTGAATTTTGGCTTTGCCTGGATTGTACCCAGTCTTAACAAGAAAGATTCTACAGTGTCAGATTCAGGGTTTTGCAGAAACAGAGGTGTTTATACAACATTTAAATATATGTATGCAAATGTATGTATATGCACTTTATCTATGCTTCTTTGCCCCAGAGATACTAGGGGCAGACCCAGTTGCAACTTGAAACTGCACAGCACCTAGTGAAACATAATGTAAAGAGGTCTGCTAGTTCCTTCCACACTACAACTAAAGACTGTGACTCCATGGCTTAAGATCCAGCCTGATTAATAGTTGTGGAGAACTCAAAAGCTTTTTCCCCCTGTTCTGCACCATTTGGTTGGTCCAAATGGTATTGGTAGGGTGTGGAATTTGGATTTTCCCTCATAAACCAATGTCAGTTGCATGGAAAAGCAAAAACACAGTCCTGCTCCAAAAAACAACGGTTGAAAAAGTTCTCAAGAATACAGGATGGCGTTACAGCCTTGATATCTTGCACTTCTTCAAATTTTCTGATGCATTTTCAACTCAATGTATCAAATAAATGGGATGTATCAAAATAGGTATCCAAAAAGTAGTTTAGGATAAAATAAGTTTAGAAATGTGTCTACCAAGATTAAACACATATTTAAATTTATATTTTGTGATAAACTATAGACTTGGCTACCCTGGTAAAGAAAAAATGATTTATATGTGTTGTATATGCGATATAACATTGTGCCACCAGAGTCCCGTTTTTCTCTACCTGTTTTCCCTGTTTAAATTTACAACACATTTAACTCAAACGCTTCTTTGATGTGCCTAGATCCAGCCTGTTAAACAGGAATTTTGTACAGTTTCTGTTTTTATTTTAGAGTCACATATTAATGCAGAAATGGAATGGAACAGAGCCATCAAAGGTGTCAGAACCACATCAGGAATGGTAAGCTCTGTTTTCATACCACAGTACATGTGTGGTACGGATCTCCCCCTCCCTTAAAATAGATAAGATTCCTGCTTCCAAACTTTTTTTCTTAACAGAGGGGGCTTCAAACAGAATGATTTTCTGAGTACTTAAACTATGGAACAAAGGGTGAGAACTCTTTAATGAAATTCACAAGCCCCAAATACATTCAGTTTTAGCCAAATGACACCTTTCCATAACTTTTTAAACATTAGATAAGGTGGCCAGCCCACCTCTGCTTCTCAAGGCAAAGTGGCTTACAGAAATATAACCTTAAAAAAAAACCTTTTAAATTTTTTTACAGAAAGTGAGAATAAATGAGATTCACAATAGAAACAACATAATATTCCAACCTCCATCCAGCTAGCACAAAGGCCAATCAAAGGAAATGAGTCTTTCCCAAAAGGCCTGAAGTGTATCTGCCTGTTGAAGCTCTACTGGGAAAGAGTTCCAAAGGCTCTGCGGAAAATGCCCTCTCCCCCATGATACCCCACCTCACAGACCTAGGAGATAGACACACTGAGAGGGCCTCCAACTGGGATTTCAGAGTGTGGGTGGGATGGTTCAGCAGTAGGTGGCCTGTCGGATTACTTGGGCTCAGACTGGTTAGGACTTTAAAGGTTAAACACCAGCACTTTCAGTTGGACCGAGAAACATACTGGAAGCCAGAGTAGCTGGTATAATACAAGTGCTATTGAAGCTATACAGATTTCAATAGTTATCATATTAATTACATTGAGGTATGTGTGAAGAAAAGGTCCCTGTGAAACATGACCAAATTTATTTTATTTGTTGCTATGCCATCATGATCCCAATTACTTACAGATACTGGAGTGCAATTATATTATGGTATATTATACTATAATCAGATAATTATACTTCTAAGAATGGGCTTTTCCATGTTTCCTCCCATCGTATAATTTTCCCTATGAAACAAAATCTTATCAGTGATAAAAGGCACACAGCTCTTACCTCATTGCACTTGCTTATTCGCCTTGCCACAATGAGCTGAATCATTCCACGCTTGTTTCCCTCTGTGGACATGGACCTTCGCAGGGTTTCCATGGCATCTTGGTTCGTTTTGCCCAATAACGATTCTCCATTTACTGCTATTAGCTGATCATTCACTCGGAGTCTTCCATCCTGGCAAGGGAATAATGTTCACGTTAGGAAAAAATAAAGGACCTTTCCGGCATCTTTTAGCTAGGAAGAAAAAATCTTAATCCTGAGGGTTTATGGTTAAGCGAACACAACTATAATGACTTTTGAAGAAATCACTACAGACATATCGTTCCCAATTATATACATATTTGAACTTCACATCATTATCATAATCTGTTTATGTAAACAGCATACTAAGTGAAATGTGCTTTTAAGAGTTGTTCCCGTCTTTCCTCCCTGAGCCCCTGAAAGTAATCCCCACGCCATACTAGTTACAATAAAATTATACAGCATTGTTAACATAGCTCCGCTGAACATTGGGACCTTCCTCTCTTCATATTACAACATTCAATATTCTTATGAGATGGTGGCATCGTGCATTTATATGTGAATAATCCCATCTATAACAGAGTCCAAGGATCTAGTTACAGGTAGGTACCCGTGTTGGTCTACCATAGTTGAAACAAAATAAAAAATAATTCCTTCCAGTAGCACCTTAGAGACCAACTAAGTTTGGTATTGGTATTGGTTATTTGTTATTGGCATGCACACGAAAGCTCACACCAATAACAAACTGAGTTGGTCTCTAAGGTGCTACTGGAAGGAATTCTTTTTTTTTTTTATTTAGAGTCCAAGGAGTATGTCATCACTTTTGGCTCTTCCGTCCCTGGGGCCAGAAAAGGGAGAAAGAGAGCTTTCTCCCTGGCATCACTATGGACTTCTTTTCCAATTAGGTGTCTTCCATGGTTTGAAAGCAAATGCAATTCATGTGAGGAAGGGCTGTGAGCATCTGCTTTGGATGCAGGAGGATCCAAGTTCAATTCTTGGCATCTCCAGGTAGCCCTGGGCATGTCTTCTGTCTGAAACTCTGGAGAGCTGCTGCCAATCAGTGTGGACATTACTGAGCCAGAAGGACCAATGATCTAACTCTATATAAGGCAACACCATGTGTTCCTATAAGAGCAAAACACTTGTTGGTCTCTCTAGTCTTGGCAAAAAGGAGAGGGTACTCACTTCGCTGCCATATGTCCGACTCGTATCATTCATTCCCACCTCTTTCAGGTCTATTGTGTAACTAGCTGGGTGCTACAGGCAATGACCACTCTATGGTTCAGATAGGTTGTGCTACTAAATCTGCATGGTCAGGCAGAAGACCTCCAAGAATACTGAACCCAGGATTGTAGATGTTCCTCCTGATTGGGCCACAGGAGTCCTAGGTAACTTGTTGTTGGTCGGCTGCAAAATCTCCCATTGACCACACCATTTTATAAGTAGGCAGGTCTGGAACTTTCCTCACAAAAGAATAATGTTTTATTTTCTTTAATAGTGTCTTGCTGTTTCATTGGTGATCAAGGTGGAAACTGTAGATGTTCCATAGCAATAAAATATAATAAAATGATGAAATATACTTATGATTCAAAGGAAAAATCAGGAAAGAATTGGAAAACATGTTAAAGAAAATAAATAATGGAAAGTTACCAGGTCCTTTAAAAATGCTACTTATTTATCCACTTACCTTAGAAGCTGCTCCACCATTAATAATGGACTTGACAAAGATGCCCAGGTCTGCATGGTTCTCTTTTGACCGGTTACCTTTCACACTAACACCAAGCCCAGCTGATCCAGAATCATTAAGGGGAACTTCAAAGGTGAGGAATTCCCTGGTGCCATCAGGGGTAAGGACAAGATCTTCTTCTTCTGCTTTCTGTCAGGAAAAGATTAGCCATGGCATTATTTAAAAGCATTTCTTCTTTGTAATTATCTTCTAACTACAGCTATTAATTTTTCTTAAACATGTAAGAACTACAATACCATGAACATTCCTATTGAAATTCATCTATGCAGAAATCTGTGATAATAGTGCATCTGGCAACACCTTCAAATAATAATTCCTAGTAACAGTTGTTGTGCATGTGTGCATGTGTGTGTGTGTGTGTGTGTGTGTGAGAGAGAGAGAGAGAGAGAGAGAGAAAATGAGAAAAAGGGAGAAAGAATGTGTGTATGCATTCTGAATTAATACAATACGATACTTTCTGAATTAATACAAATTTGAACCATTCCATTTCCAAACAAGAAATAATTATTGGCGGCATGAAAAACCAACACATTTTCTGTTGCAAGTTCATTTGCCCTTCCAAATAATGACATTTGAATATTTATGTATTCTGAGCAGCAAGAAGGATACAAACAGCAGGCAAATAGATAAATACCCATTAGTCATGTGCTCCATTTTTCTTTTGCAGTTGGGATTATTAATAATGTTCAAAGAAACATCATATAAAACATTACAGATGAGATCAGGTAACGGTAAGCCTCTTTGCTCTTGGGTGCCAGAAAAGTCATATGGGGCACAGCTGTGAATACTAAAAAAAAATATATCTTCGACATTTCACATCTGTTCTACTTTCACACTCCTACCTTTGTTGCTCACAGTACACTGCCTGACTCCAAATAAATAGCCATGATGGTGGCTTGCTGACATAAAAAGAGTGAGTGGTTGATGCTTAGTAGAATTCAGAGATAGAAATAAAATACGTTGTTGTTGTTTTTGCTAGATTAAAATTAAAAACTGTATCTTGCCATTTTGTGATTATAAATTTGCTTGGTTACTTGTGGTAACCATTTGCTTTAGGTATGCTGCTCTAACTACTGGAAGCTCCGTCTCCTGCTAGAAGATGGAGACAGAGTGTAGATTCAGACTTCATAATGCTACCCATATTTATTGAGTGTAGTGTGCCTTGTGGGAGATTTTTCAGTCAAACCCAACCATGCACAACCATGCTAGTAAGTAGATGAAGGGGTTAAGGACCACAAAGCAGTACATTTCTAGAGAAGCTGTAAAGGGGAGGGGTAATGCCTCTGATGGGGGACATGTTGTGCTTTGTAGTTTGTCCACCTTTGGTCCCCACCCTGCACTCAGCTCTCACCTGTGGCTCCTAGAAACTGTCTGTATACAACAGTAGCCACACCCTAGGAACAGCTTCGACTGGCCAGTTAAACCAGGTGAGGATAACCTTTAGGTCTCAAACCCTTGGTGAGTTAGGGACCTCCCCCAAACACAAAGACAGGCTCTGGCAGATTGAGCAGACTAGACCAATAGTGGATCCAATGGTCAAGGAGGATTCTGCGTGTGCTGTAGAGGGGAGTGATGGGCAAACAGGGCTTGTCAGACTGGGAAGGTAGCCCATCTAGCAGAAGGAAAACTCTGAACATAAACCTGTGCTGCCTTGTGGGATATCTTCAGGAGAATAAAGTAAACCCTACACAAATCCAGAGTGGAGTCCTAAGATAGTTGAATAGTTCCTTGTACACATCTTTCTGGCAACTCCTGAGGCCAAGCTGGTACCAAATATATTGTTCTGCTTTCCTCTGGACCACATCAGCAAGGCTGAGACAGGGGTCTTGTTGTCTGAGTAGCCCAGGACCTCCATATACACAGCCCAGGCTTGCGCCCCAGGGAGGTCACTTTGGTGCTGCTAATGCAGAGGTTTGACATCACCTCCGGATGTGCACTCTATTGTCTCAAGACGGACAGATGCCAACAACAATATGTTGGGATACTGCCAGGGAGATAAAGTCCATCATAGCCCCCAAGCCGGCTGCCGGACGATCCATCGACCTCCCGTAGTCACGCAGTATCAACAATTAGGGACATGAGTTTCTAGAAGATTTCTTGTACACATTCCAGAGCTCATGCACACTGTATCAGCAGATAATGCACAGCCAAAAGTTGCGCTCAGGAGAGCATTATTTACAAGTTTATTCAGCGTTGATCAGAACACAGAAAAACATGACTGCCTGCTTTTAGTGTCTGCGACACAGACAGAAAACGAAAGCAACAGAAAACATAAACATCCTGTGAACAGGAAATACGCAGACTCTGACTCACAAAGCCTGCTCCCTTTTAAGGTGGAACGGAAATATCCTAACATCCTCCCCTTTCCGTGTAACCTGTAGTACCTGTGGTTCAACCCAATTGCAACCTTTGTACATAAACCTTAAGTTGTTCTCTGTTAACAACCTTAGACAACAGATCAGCAGGAATTTCATTTCCTGGCATGTAGGACACCTGAATGAGTCCTTTCTGAATACACTCTCTTGCACGATGTAGCTTAATCTGCAAGTACTTGGTCCTTTGCTTGCAACTCTCCGAGTTCAGCAAAGCCAAACACGATCTATTGTCTTGATACACTTGTACAGGACATTTCACAGAAACTCTGATGTCCTTAAACAGTTGCATCAACCATTCACAATCCATGAGTGAAAATGACAGAGCATTGAGTTCTGCTTCACAGGAACTTAGGCTCACTGTCGTCTGCTTCTTGCACAACCAGTCAAACAGGCAGTGGTTGTACATGTAGCATACTCCAGAAGTGCTTGTACCATCCGTGGTGTCACTTCCAAAACTTGCATCTGCAAAGATTTCAAGACCTCCAGTCTTCTGACTGGTGAACCTCAGCCTGTAGTGCAAAGTCCCTTTCAAATAGCGGGCTATGCGCTTCAGAGCTTTCCAATCCTGAACAGTAGGATTGTTGGCATGTCTGCTAAGCAGGTTACAGCTTACAGCTATGTCAGGTCTTGAGCATCTAGCAATGAAATTCAACTTGCCTAGAATGCATCTGTACAGCGTTGTGTCAGAAAACGCTTCAGCAGTACTGTCTACCTGGTAACCTGTCACCATCGGTGTGTCTGCTGGGTTTGCATCAACCAAATTCAACCTGGTTAATACATCAGCAATTTTCTGTGTTTGGTGTACCAGAAAATTACCTGCTTGGTCCCTCTCCACCTGCAGAGAAAGATAGTTGGATACCTCACCAAGATCCTTCATGTCAAAGTGCTCCTTCAGCTGAGCTAGGGTGCTTTGGTAGAAAGCCTGATTCTTCCAAAACATCAGAAGATCATCAACAAAACATAAACAATACAGTTTGTTTTGCCCTCCTCCTTGACAAACACACATGGATCAGCTTTGCCCTGGTGAAAACCTAGAGAAAGCAACGTCTCAGTGAGTTTTGTGTTCCAACACCTGGCACTCTGCTTGAGACCATATAAGGATTTCCGCAGTTTACAGACCATTCCCTTCTGTATCTGCATCCCGTCAGGTGGAAGCATAAACAGCTCCTCCCCCAAAATCCCGTACAAAAAAGCTGTATTAATGTCATGATGGGAAACATGCAGTTTCTCCTCCGCAGCAATCTTGAGCATCAGCCGAATGCTCTCATATTTGACTGTGGGTGAGTAGGTCTCGTGGTAATCCTGTCCTGGTACCTGTGAAAAACCTCTGGCAACCAATCTGGCTTTGTGTCTGACAACCTTGCCATTCTGGTCTGTCTTGGCCTTGAAGACCCATTTGCTGCCAACCAGTCTCATCCCTGGGACTACCGGTACCAATTCCCAAGTTTGGTTCCTATTCAAGGAATCAACTTCAGCCTTCATGGCATTAAGCCAAGGCTCAGCATCTTTAGAGGTTAACTCCTGAACCTCTTTGAAGCTTGAAGGTTCCCACACCTTCTCTGAGCTACTAAGAACAGCAGTTGCTGTCTTAGCAAACTCATCAGCAAATCTCTTTGGAGGTCTGCCCTTCGTGGCTCTCTCAGATCTGCGTAC